TACTTCAAATTTTAGCCTATTTTGATTATTTAGAAAATCATTACTGAAAATTTATTTATGTTAACCTCCTTGTTTTGTCTTATCACAACTATTAATAAAGCCAAATCGGGAAAAAATCAATTCTTCTCCATTTTCAGATGTTATTTTTAATGTTAATAATACTTGAGCCTGAACTTCTGTTTGTCATTGTTGTTTTCCTCAATTTCTCAAGATGGAAGCTCTGAATCTGCTATATTATTACTATTATTATTATTATTATTATTATTATTAAAATTTGGTGTTACTATTGCACTGTGGGTTCAAATACTTTATTGCTTCCAAACATATTAGTCGCGGGACATTCCGTAGCTACAGGGGGGTCAAATGTAAACCCACTAATAAAAATTTTTTCGATAGACATGGAATTTTATAAGCTAGACTCCTATTTTTAATAGTCGTTAGGAAGTCCTAGCTGGTTAATATTAAAAGAAAAACAACGAATTTTTTTTTGAAGTGGACGACAAAAATTTTATTCGTGTAACGGTTATAATGATGACATTTGATCTTCAATGTCCTGCGACTGATAGATCTTATTGGCCAATCAAGATAATCTATCCTAATATGAAGAAATTACAACTGTTTTTGGTAATGATATTGGTTTTAATTTGGAAAGATTTACGAGTCTTAGTATATATTAAAAATGGTACAAAAAAATTTATCATCATCAATCAATAATGGGTAAATCCAAAAATCAATCAACGAGTGGGGGAGGTGGTAAAGGAAAGACATCAAAGAAAAATACAGAAGCTGATGGTATAATTTTTTTAGTTTTAAATTACATTGATATTAAATTTAATTAATTGATTTTATTATATGATGGATGATGTTATATGAAGAATCTGGAAAATCTACAAAATTAAAGGCTGCAAATAGTATAAAGGTCAAAAATAAGTTTCAGTTTATATAAAAAAGTTTTTTAACATTTATTTAATGTTTTGAAATATTTATATTATACTATGTTACAGGTTAGGCATATTTTATGTGAAAAACATTCAAAGGTAATTAAGGAAGAAAGGAAGAAAAGAAGGAAGGGATGGATATTTTAAGAATTTTATATGTAATCTATGCAAGCCAAAAGAAATAAACAAATATAAACAATCTTTTTTTTATGCATGGTTTAGATAATGGAAGCATTAGAAAAACTTACAGTTGAAAAAATGCGATTTGATAAGGCATGCCTGTCTTATTAAATATAACCTATTGTTTGTTAAGAAATCAAGTCATATTTATTTATTTTTGTGTATAGGTTGCAGAATTATATAGTGAAGATAAGGCAAAACAAGGAGGTTAACATAAATAAATTTTCAGTAATGATTTTCTAAATAATCAAAATAGGCTAAAATTTGAAGTA